CTGTGAAGGATCCCTGTAGCCGTGTCATTGTTATAGTACTGCTGTTAAGAAGGCCACGGTACTGTAACAGTACGATACTTCACTATCAGCAGATAACGAACAAACTGAACTTACATAATCATGCTTTGTAGGTGTTAAAAGATCATACATAGAAATGATAGGTGATTTGCCACCACCATCGATGCTTGGAGCTCCTAAAGAATGGTTTAAACTACAGAAATGTAATCCTATCGATCATCCCATCTGTCTTAATCATCGTCCACCCGAGGCTTCTAGCACTATATCTGTTAGTTTATATAGTCCTATTTTTGGTAAATTTAAGGGTTTTTGTGAGGAAGATCCAGAAAGAGAAGACAACCAATTTACTTATAAATTTTGTTATGAAATGGCCAAATATTATAAAAGAGAGGAAGATTGCCAAGATGAGGCAAATAAAATGCTTGAAAAATATCTCGGTCCTTCGGTGGAATTACTTACAGTTAAACACAAAAGTTCTGATGGCAGTTTAAAAGATGCATATACCGACGGCACTATGTCCTTTTCTAAGTACCGTGGGGCTAACTTTGAGTACAAGTGTGATGACTGTAGCTCCGGTACTTCTCCTTATTTAGAAAATTGTAGCTATTATTTAGTTTTTTGCAACGAACAAGCAAATAGACCCTCATTTGATGAAACTAATCTTCCATACTTTTTAGTTACAATTGCAGGTATTGTAGTAATTTCGACTTGATATTTTTTTCTGAATTTTCAATTGACTTTGATTGCACTTTAGGGCTTTATTTTTCTATTTCCGGAGCCGTGCTTGCAGAATATGCAATTGTTGATCCACTTATCCTCTTATTTGGCAGAAACATGATAAAATGACGTTATCACTTTCTAGAACATTTCGTGCTTTGAAGAAATCTCTCAAAATTCTTAATCATTACTATAAGCAAGTTGATGAGCAAGCTCAAAAAATACCTCAAACAATCAACCTTGAGCATCCTTTATTCCCTGAAGTAACAATTGATGATAAATGTTATAGCGTTCAGATTATTCGTCAGATTGGTAATTATCTTTTTTGGGAAGTTACTCTCTCTAATGAACAAGGACCAACTAAAAAAGCCTACGTAAAGGCTATTCAAAAGCGCAAATATTCACTTAATACACATCAGCTCTTAGCAGAAGCTGGATATGCTTCAAAAGTCTTCGTTACTTCAGTTATTCCTGGAAATTAGCTTTTGGTTTATATGGAATACCTGGACAATCATTCGATGTTAAATCGTATTGCCTTGAATCTTAATGATCAAGATCAAAATTCTTTAAGAGTGAAAATCAAAACGATAGTTAAACATTTATATAATTTGGGACATGTACATGGAGATTTGCATGAAGGGAATATTCTAATTCGTCAATTTGAAAACAATAATTTTGATGTGAAATTGATCGATTTTGAGTAGTCTGAAAAGGTTGGTTCCGCACATTATTCTCACTTTATAAATCATATTGGTATAAAATGGCCAGATAGTGCAGAAGATGGGAAATTAGTAACAAAAACTCACAATCTTAAAATGCTGAACCAGATGCTTTTGAGAACAGGCTTATCGCAAAATCAAATAGAATATTGAAATTTAGTAAGAGTAGATTGATTAAGTTTAGCAATATAACCTAATATTTGTTAATCTAGCACGTAATGTTATTAATAAAAAAATAATAATCTCACATTTTTGTATTTTTGCTGTATTAGAATTTGATTTGGCAGTTATC